TTAAGGTTGTTGTAAAGTTCTGCTGATAACTACTAAAAATGTATGAGAGTAGGGTTTCGAGACGAAATGGGGTCAATACATCTCATTATGCTAAAAATGTATCATATCTGCTGTATCATCATCGGCTCCGTCATAAACAAAATCAAGTCTCTTCAGGTCGCAATGTAGATGGGAATAGAAGTCCTCCGTAAGCAAGTGTTGGTGCTCTCGATCCTCCAGGTTGGCATACCGTCCAAGGCCTTCCATGGATGCTGGTTAGGTTTGACAACCAGACGTGTAGCCAACCTGCCGACAGGGAGAATGCTCACATATAAACGGCAGAGAGGGTTACTTTAACACATGGCGATCCCACACTGTTAGAACTAGACAGCAGTTAGGTGTCCTTGGACCGATGCGACTAAGTCAGATCGTGTATATACGAAGAAAATGCGGGTTTCGAAGAATCTCCTGAAAGAAGATTGATGTGAAGACTTTCATTTTGTATGGAAGTACATGATGAAGAGATTGTTAGGTCAATCTCACCAGAAAACAGTGGCTGATTCTGCAGCTGTAACGCAACTGTTTGGCCTTAATAAGACGTTCAGGTTGCTGCAGTCCACGATACACTCTCCAACGCTTCGGGCGAAGACGGGCTACATAACTAACGTCGTCATAGATGAAATTCATCCTGCAAAAGCCTCAAGTTAATACTGAATCAAGAAGACTGACCGGCTTTTTCTATACGATATATACACTCTTTGCGAACAAAATTTAAGATATAGATGGATATAGAAAGGTGACCGGTTTTGCATGTAGACATTAACACACAGTGCACTCGAGTATATGTGAATTAACCAGACCTTGCAATATCCATCTATTTCTTACATTTTGCTTGCAATGAGTATATATATCATATATAAAAAGCCGATCAGTCTTCCTAACTTAGTATTCACTTGAGGCTTTTGCAAGAATGAGTCTAAGCTTTGACGACGTTCGTTATGTAGTCCGTCTTCGCCCGAAACGTTGGAGGATGTCTTGTGGACAGCATCAACCTGAACGTCGGATTAAGGCCAAACAACGGCAGTTCAATGCGAATCTGCCGGCGTATTCTGGTAAGATTGACTTACGAATCTCTTCATCATCTACTTCCATGCGAAATGAAAGTCTTCACATAAATCGGATCTTGTCAACTGGTGGTGCAACGGCCGCATAATCTATGCACTCTTGCCTGCGTCTGCAGGGCGTTGGAGGCAAGCGCCACGGACACCACCGGTTCTTCGCCCGTTATGCAGACTGATACCAATCCGATTCGGATGTGCTTTCGAACCAAACCAAAAGAGAGTTAAACAAGTGCCTTGAAATCACCCATATTTTGATGAACTTTCTTCGAATCCTCAACTCAAGCTACTCAACAAGAACGGATCTGGCCACACTCTCTTGCCACATTGGAGGGCTTTTAGTACAACCCAATATGCGTTGAGTGGTACAGAAGGGGCTGAATGAGGAGCTGCAGTATGCTCCTCTGCACATATTTGCGGAATTAGAACGAAATAATTGGAGATAGGGGCCAGGCTGACTAAATAAATCCTCGGTAGGAAAATTATCGCCAGAAGTTATTGGGTTTGGGTAATTCAAGCCTCATGAAATGTGCGGTTCAGCGAGAACTGGTCATAAACTGAAATTTATGCCTCAAGTTCCTTCAGATTGAGGTATCAGGTCAAGTGACCTCAATTTCGTCTGTTTATGCTTCACTTTTTCTGTACTTCTTTTATAAAATGGAACTATTAAGTACCGCTTGAGGCACCAAAGTTGTGACACATGTTGACCTGAGTTCTGGGTAAAAAGTGTTGATTTAAAAGTCATTCGTTCAGGTCGCTATCATCAACCTCGAGATAAGGCGGAGCCCATTTAAGAATAAATCTCGAAAGGAGAGCAAGACTAAGCTGAATGAAAAGTCAATATTAACACATTTTGCCCTTAACAAAATGGACGCAACCGGGTGGAAAGAAGGAGCAGGAACAAAGTTCTGGCCTTTACGACGAACCAACCAGAAGACAAATCTGAAGGAAGAGTTTTGCGACTGGTAAACCTGTCAAAACCACCCACTTATGGAGATTAGCCAGATCGGTTGCCAACAGTTTGTTGCATCCTCTACGAAGCCGAACCCACAAATTGCTGGACCTAGGAAAATGGAGTCCTAGGAACAATAAACTCTTTTAGCTTTGCCGCTATATCAGAGGATTACGAAATTGGCCGTTTCATGCCAAAGATGAGAGCCTCCAGTTTTCGCTGCATAATAAACAAATGCACTTTTTACATGACAACGCAAGTCCTTGCTAAACGATCCGGAAACCCGGCCTCCCGCCAGCCTCCATTGCAGAGGCTCATGAGAAAGCTTGTTTGCAGGCATGTAGATGCACCTCGTCCGGTCTGGTTGTCTCCGGATGGTCAGTAGTTAACATCCTGTCTAGCCAGTCCTCGTCTCTACATCCGGAGGCGGAGAACTACTGGCCAGGCCCTTGTTTTCGGCACAAAGTCTCCTGCTCACTCGTCAAGTCCAGTGGAAGCCGCCTTGGCGACATCCGATTTCGCCCTGGCCTCTGCCGGCAATGTGTTCAATTGATCTATTTAATTTTGGAAAACACAAATATTAGTCTCCCAACTCCTTAAGCCACCTGAGATAAAGAGGATTTAGATTTACTACGTTATACTATTAGAGGTTGGCAGGATTTCAACCATCTACCATTCTTGGTCGTTGACCGAGGTCTGCTTTCTTCACATCGACACTCTCTTCTTTTGGATTCTGAAGAAACCAATTCACGAATTCCTTCCAAACTACTTTTCGCTCAAAACGAAAAGTCCCATTCGGCTTCATTCATTTTACCTAGGCTAGTGATTTCGGCCAGTTGTAC